GATGTGATTTTTGGAGTCCATAATGGTCAAATAAAGACGTCAAAGCATATCATGTAAGGCATGACTTTAAAGAGCTTGACAAGCAGTAGAAAAGTTATTGATATCATTAATAGATACGGTCACTGTATAAGTTATCAAGGAGTTGAGGAACTAGAAACGGAAACAACATATAGTACTATTGAAAAGTCTAGCTTATGCCCAGAAAAAATTAAAAAGAAACCTGAACTTTTTACTGGTGTGGCATATGACAATTTTGACCGTTTTGTGGAGACTACGAGCGGAAAGGATACCTTACATGATACAGTGGGAATTATTTACCAAAACATTGAGTCAAATACAGCCGAAGAACCTGAAATGCCTGAAGAATCTGAGATGTCTGAAGCGTCGATTCCAAATAATCGTAATAACTCACAACAAAAAATAAAAAAAGAGAAAGGAAAAGAAGAACTTTTGAAGCCATATCTACAGAAGAGATTCCGTATCCAAAAAAAAAAAAAAACAAAAATGACAAGTGATTTACAACTAAAGGCTGATGATATAGAAATTACACACTCTACAAATTCGCAATTACACACTGTAATTGAAAATATACGGATGATTAGTCATGCTTTGGAATTACCTGATGTACCAATGTGGGGGTTAACGTTGATAAAACCAGTCCGGAACAAATTATTTCTTATTTAACCCCAATCAATGCATCTCCAACCAGTACATCCATAGTTCTAGAAACTATGGAACAAAGTAAGAAAATAGCTGAAGACTTACACCAACCTTCCATACAGGTTACAAATGATCTTGCCATTGCAAAAGTTGCATACCAAATACAAGCCATGGAAAAACCTCATTTTGATAACTTATTCATACATTTAGGACCGTTTCATATAATGATGGCTTATTTTAAAACAATCGGTAAGGTGATAAGTGCATGTGGGTTAACAAATGTAATGGTTGCGAGTAATTTGCTGGCAAATGGTTCAGTGAATGGATTTCTTGATGGAAAACACTTCAACCGTTGTAAAAGATTACACCGTATGGTTGCTTTGGGGCTGGAAATACTACATTTTAAATTGTTCTTACAAAATAATAATATAACATTAACGGACGATGTAATAGAAGAAGTGAAAAGACTTCAAAACAGCGAAATATCATCATTTCACATAGAAAATGAAGAATTAGAAGAATTAATAAATAATTACGGCATTTACAAGCAACAATCTCTCAATGGCGAACATGGTAAAACTGCACAGTTCTACTTAATTTACATCAACCTTATAAACTATTACTTGAACCTATCACGAAGCATTCGGACTGGAAATTTCGAGCTCTTTAAATTGATGCTGCCCAAAATCACAAATATATTTTTTATATGCAATCAACAAAATTATGCACGATGGACCGTAAAATATTATGATAATTTGTTGAAAGTTGCAGAAACTCATCCAGATTTATACGAAGGATTTAAAATAGGCTGCTTTGGTATTAAAAGGACCACCAAGCCGTTTTCAAGACAGCCTATTGACCTGGTATTAGAGCAAACGATAAACGCAGATGCCGCTAGAAGGCTCACAGGTGTAGATAGATAGATAGATAGATAATTCTTTATTGTACACCAAATCAATACATAAACGAAAGAAGAAGAAAATACATTTTACAAATTCAATTTCAGCACGTCAACGGTGGGCTCGGAATCATGATGTGAGATCTACAATAATAAGCCAAGTTTATCTAGAATTAGGCTTACAAACTCATCAAGATGTTTCTGCAGACTTGAATTTTCATAATATTCGGAAAAATACCAAGCAGTTACAAAAATTCATTGCCACGTTCGATCGATTTATTAATACCTTCAGCTCAGAAGTACCAAAAGAACAATTGATTAATATTTCATCTGGGAAATCTGCATCACCAATGGTAGAGGCGTTCCTTCTAAATATAGAAGTAAACGGAGATAGCCACCGTAAAACATTCATTTCTGAGTGTTTATCAGATATTAACCGATTCGAAAAAGCCATAAAGAAAACATCAATAGACAATTTCTCCAAAGATTATGAGAAAAAAAAGAAAGTTCAAGTAGGTGGTAAAATTCAAGAAATTAAAATTCAAAGAGATTTATTTGGACGTATGCTGGGAATCTCGATGGATTATAAAGTAAGATATCTCAAAAATGTTATCTTACCCAATTACTTCAGTGCCATTGTCCATGTGCCATTTGGATGAAGCTATTTGCAAAACTGATAAATCTGCTTTGATGAAATCTTTAGAGAAAGAGGTCCAACACGAGCAACCTCGTCATATTGATGTTCTAATAATTGATGGTTTTTTCTTATTGCATACGATGAAAAATATTCCAAAAAACTATGGAAATATTTCAAAAAAAATGTTGCAAATGGTCACTCAATTGCAAGCATCGAGAATTGATGTTATCTTTGATCAGTACTTTACCCCATCGATCAAAGATTATGAACATTCACAGCGATTTTAATGTGCACAATTAGAGTTTACGATAACTGGCCCTGAGCAAGTTCGACCAAGTGATTTTACAAAAGAATTGAAAAATTCTAATTTTAAAGAAGCTCTTGTTGATTTCTTCATTTCACATTGGGCTACTGATGAAGTGGTGTCATTTATTCGAAATAAAATTATAAACATTAATTTCAGACAAAGTCATTCATTTACTGTTAATAGTTCTAATCACGTCGTTTCAAGTGTTGATGAAGAGTTGTCATGCCCAGAACATGAGGAAGCAGACACTAAGATAGTATATCATGCGTGCAACATCAACTATCAAGCAAATATAGATTGTTGATACTGATATTGCTGCTATAATGCTTGGGAACAAGCATCATCTTAAAAATAATTCACGTGTTTGGATGCTTACAGGTACTGGAAATAACTTAAGATATGTTGACCTAACCAAAATTCACGCAGAGTTGGGAGAATCTATTTGTCGTAGCTTACCTGGGTTTCATGCAATCACAGGATGTGATTGTAATCCTGCATTTTTCAGAAAAGGAAAATTAAAACCTTATAAAATATTAAAAAAAACATCAAGAGTACCAAAAAGCTTTCATGAAATTCGGTAACAATGAATTAATTGAAGATAATGATGAACAACAAAACGTTTTTAATATTGTTCAGAAATTTATATGCAACGTATACAATGTCGGTGGTATAATTTATGTTGATGCTGCGTGCCTTCAAATGTTCATCGATTCATATACGGTCTATGATATTAACGAAGCTTTTGACCGAAAAAAAATGCGAAATTTCGACGCTAGCAGCCTACCGCCATGTAAAAGCGAACTGTTCCAGCAATTTCTACGAGCAAATTACATATGTTGCATTTGGAATAATGCTCACCTAAAATATCCAACCATACACAAACCACAAAATAATGGTTGGGTACAAGAAAATGATCAATACCACTTTAAATGGTTTGAAGGGGATCAGCTACCAAATTATGTCAGTGATTCGTTACAAATTATATCAGGTATATAATTACTATATCAAATTATGTACATGATTTTGTTATTATTCATAATTGTATTAACTCGGTTAATTTTTTACAGAAACTGACGAAGAAGGCGATTTGGACATCAATCAAGCGGACTGGAGTAGTAGTGACGAGGATGATGAAGATATCGACGACAACAATGAAAATTCTGAACATTATTAAATAATTTTTTGTATTCAATAATATTTTTTTAACTCTGTAATAATAATTAAGAATATTTTTTTACTTAATAAAAGATGGCTATGAACATATTATAAATATTTTTTGGATTCCTTACCATAAACAATACTATTAGCTCACACAGTCAAAACTTGAATTTCTCAAAAATGTTAACAAAACTAAAAATTTATGGATTAATTTTTTAGATTTTTTTATTGATTTTTAGACATGAAAATTTTATTAGATAAATTTTTTTACATGTATTTTTTAGTCATAAATAATTTTATGGAATTATAAAAACCGTGAAAACTGTCCGGCTACTGGGGTAACTTCTTTTGATAGTCTCCCAAGTAACATATCTAAAATTCAGCTTTTATACTATATTGTAAGCGTAAGTACAATATTTTTGAGTTTGGGGGTGTCCGGCAGGGCGTTAAAACCATACTAAGTGTCCGGCAATGGATGACATCATTATAAATATTATTCTAAATAAAATATCAAAAAACCGAGCTTTATCTTTTAATGTATTTGAGGTGCTTTTTTTACACCTTTGTTACCTGTTACCTGTCAAAGTATGACTACCCAAACTACATAGTCGCCCATCGTTCTTACCTGTGTTGGTGACGTGCGCAGACAAACTTTCTGCTTTTATGAAATATTGTGCGCCTGGCTGAAGCGGGCTCTTGCTCTATCATATTTATAATGTTACTATGTAGTGATTAGTAGTAATACAAATAAGATTATTTTATATTTAATATAATTATCAGAAATTTCCATTTTAATTATAAATAAAATATATCTTATATTTAATTATTAGTTTGCTCACCGGAAGGTAGAATACGGCTGTATTTTTGTTAAATTATTAAGACTTATTGTAACCCATATGTCGCAAACGAATAAATGAATTTGAATCACTTCCACTTGTAAGTTCGTTCCCACTTGTACGGTGAAACTACATATTTCATACCAACTTAGCAGTCTTAATAACACGGCACTTTTACGCGCCAGTACTTGGCGAGCAGTTCAAGCAGTCGTTTGTTTACTTTATCATTCATAATATCATATGAAATATATCACATCATAGCAACTTTACATCACTTATATCGTCAAGCGTGGGAATCGCACCGTACACCACTAATAGTGTACATGCATGGACTTTCAAAATTATAACATTACAAAACCGAACCCACTTCAAAGCAAGATTCGAGCAATGCAACAGTAGCAGGAATGCTGCTACCAGCGGTAAAACATCGCCAACACTGTGCGCTCGTTTGTTGCGCTCACTGTTCAACAAACCACAGATGCACATAAAGCAACAGAGCAGTACCTGTGCACCACCCTCGCCCCAGGCGGCGATCAGAGTGGGCCCGAGGCAGATGGCCAGGTTCCACGCGTCCATCATGTTGTACTCGCTGTACTCGGTCAGACTGTAACACACACAACACGACTTATTGAACCCTTCAATAAAAAAATGCATGAGTCCAAGACTAACATATAGGCAATAGCAAATAACGTTATCAGTACGAAGGTATCGTTTCTGAGTTCACTGCGCCTGCACAGCACCGATCACTGTGGTTAATCTTTTGAAGTTATGTTTGCCAGTTACTATCAAACATATATATATATATATATATATATATATATTTCTTAAAGGATCAGCAGTAGTTTAAGGTGGGTTATCAAAGAAGAAAGAAAATATATCTTTGTCATTACATTAATATAATTTATATAATCAGGCGTTACTTTGCGGAAATCCATTATAATAAACATATTAATAGTCACTTGGCAACCATCCGCTCAATTAAATAAAATGATGTCTTCCCTAGTTCGAAGAGCACCTCCCGCCCTCCCTCATTTGCGTGCACTAATCCCGTCGCCACCAATCCCAGCAAAACTACTCCCAACGCCACTATTCAAGGTAAGACACACCATCGACGATAATACGAAACGTGTTTCGTGTCTACACGAGGCATCTTCAGGTGATGTAGACTCTACGGCAGCTGACCGTTAGACGGTACAGTTATGAAGACACCTTTATCTTTATAATTAATCAATAGGATTCCTCTTGAGTCCCAAAAGACTGTCGCCATAATTTTCCTAGCCGATAAATTTCCCTTAAGATAATAAGAATCTTAAATTTCTTGGGTGGTGGTGTGCCTTTTTTGTGCCACTGCATAAAGTCCTGTTTGCACTCGGGTTTGTGGCCGTGAAGGGAAAGGGAAGATTTCCCGCCGGGCAAGGTGTTCTGCCCGGGGAGCGGCCAACGCTCCGATTGTTCGGAGCTGTTATACTCTTTATGATTCGGAACTTTGATAGCGGAATTTAGGATTCGATGTGTTTCACTTTGGCGCGACGACAGCGCCGCCACAGGTTCATAATGGTAAACCCAAGTTTCGTCACCAGTAACAATTCGAGCCAACACTCCATCTTTGTCTTCCATACAGAGATCCAAAAATGCACGAGAACACTCCACGCGCTGTTGCTTTTGAGGCGGCGTGAGCATTCTAGGCACCCATCTTGCGCTAATTTTAGTCATGCCAAGATGGTCTTGAAGAATTTTGAAAATAGTAGCATCTGATACTCCAACCATTTCTGCGAATTGTTTTTTCATTAGGCGGCTATGGGGTCGTCTTCAAGTGACTCTCTGCCTTGTTTAAAAAGAGTCTGCCACTTGTAAACCATAGTTTTACCTCTAGAGTCTCCGTAAACGGATGACATCTTCTAGTGTAGTCTCAACTAATTTTCCGCGCTTGGTAAGGAACTTTATAACGGCACGGAACTCGATTTTCGCCATACTTCACAAATTTTTCCCGATTCACTTGTTTGGTTGACGATAACTCAAATACTAATGATCTAATTACAATAAAACCCGGTATTTATACTAATAATAAGTTGCTCTATTAGCACGTAATTCAGCGACGTCCCCACTTATTACCCACCTATCCATTCCGCGAACTTAAAAACGCACCATCGTACATAAAAGTCTTTGGTTGCAGCTGTAGTAATGCTGCTTTTGTGTTTTTGCGAAAGCAGCGCACAGCTAGTGGGGTAGCGCGGCCTGCACGCGTACACTCACTGCGCGAGGAAGGCGAACAGGTAGCGCAGCAGCAGCAGCGCAGGCAGCGGCAGCGCGGCGAGCGCGGCGCGCAGGCGGCGCACGAAGGCCGGCTGGTGGGGTAGCGCGGCCTGCACGTGTACACTCACTGCGCGAGGAAGGCGAACAGGTAGCGCAGCAGCAGCAGCGCAGGCAGCGGCAGCGCGGCGAGCGCGGCGCGCAGGCGGCGCACGAAGGTCGGCTGGTCGGGCAGCGCGGCCAGGCGCAACAGGCGCGGGTGCAGCGCGGCGGGCAGCGGAGGCGGGCGCAGCTCGCGCAGGTACAGCTTGAGCAGGCCGCACACCGAGTTCATGTCAGACGCGTCGCGCGCGCCCTCCAGCGGGTCGGCGCCGCGCTCGAACGCCGCGCGCAGCGCCTGCATCTCCACCTGCGACCCCGACACGCGGAAGATGCCTTGCTGCTTCAGTCCTGCCGGGTGCACCTCACGCTTCATATCACGTCTGAGACTGTCTGTACGAGCTACTCAAACATTTTATGGATATTAAATAACAATACATAAACGATAACGTGACGCGTTTGGTAAAAGCGGCAAAATTGTAAATGCATTTGGTTCTTAATACAAGTAGTATGCATTTTATTTAACATCTATTATCAATATGATCTTAAATTATCATTTAAAAAACACAAAGTGTAAACAAATCCTACTTTTTTGGTCCTTCCAACCAGATTCGAGTTCACGCGATGAAACATAATACCCGTGCGTAACAGAACAAGATATATCCACTTATGTCTGAGAGCAGACTTTGGAAATGAAAATATTGTCATGTTATGACATTTTAATGGATGGAAGAACGTTGGCGAATAAAAATAAAAATGAGAATGGTGTAAATTCTTCTTTCGTTATAAGAAAATTCACATGTAAACATACAAAAAAAGAAGACGATTAACGCAGTGGCGAAGCTAGGACTCCAAACTAGCACAATCCCAAGATATGGTTTTGTTGTTTTTAGCAGTTTTATAAAAATACACCAATCTTGTTCTGTCTCCACGCTTCAGTTTCATATTCAGTGCTGTCAAGGACGTGTTTAACAAAGCACACAGAAGGCATACTACAGCTACATACCTTCGGTGGCTTTGAAAAGAGCTGTTTGGGTTTGCTTTAGCGAAAGAAAAAGATATTTACATACAATACAATACATGAACAAAAGAAAAGCATGAACAAAGTACAAACAATGTACAAAATTAAGAAAGGACGCCTACAGATGTGAAACATCGAAATTATTTTGTTTAAGTTATATGCATAGAAGAACAGGAAACAAATATGTTACAGGAATTAGATATGGTATAATGAAAAGATAAAGCTTTACAATTTTTTACCATAAAATAATGACATCTATTATATAATTATTCAATTTCAATTTTAATGAACCGTAAAAAATGATATTTTTAGTTCATATGGTGATATAAATATTAAATTATTAAGTTAGCCGATAGCCATCTAGCGTAATCTTTACGTACCACCGTAAGAATCAATCAAGTTATGTTTGTTAAAATGACTTCATCTATAGAATTATGTAGATAGCCCTATTAAAATTTTATATACTGTAATTCTTTTGATTTATTACATTACAATTTAGGCTTCACATTAAAAAAAGATTGTAACAATTATTTGCTATAAAATTAAACTTATACCTAGGTGTCTCATATTTTATGCTGCCGTTCAAAAGAATATTTTTAACTGTTATAGTAATATAAGTATTAAACTTTAATATTAAAGAGTCCTGTACCTATTAAGGTATAAAGAAATTTTTATTTAATTACAATTTCATTTTTAAAGATTTTACCTTTTCCTCACCGATAAGCATTTTAACACACTTCAATTCATCACAAGGAACACTACTATCTTCCTATTTTCACTAAAAATCTTTGAAAAAGCATAAATTTTCAACAGACATAACAAAAACAAACATAAACTTTGAAATGTGCAGTGAACTTGCAAACGTATAGCCCGCACGCCCACTCGCTAACGCACTCCTAAACAACTTCAGAGCGAAGCCCAACTTTTGGTTCCATAGTGATTGCTATATAAATATTTCGTAGTTATATTTCATTAGAGAACAAATTGCCTCAGGTTAGAATGTAGCGATCGTCTTCTCGAAAGCCCGGTAAAAAGCCAACGCGTACTAGAGAGACGACAAAACCAACTCCTTGCTTTCATTAATTTTGACAGTCCAGTGTATTTCGAATGAGGGCAAATAATCTTACGCTCACCAGATGTCGCTAGTTGACATTAGGGTGAAGTTTTTTGTTACACGGTGTTATTTAATTGATAATTTAGTCTAGAGTATTATAATAATAAACAAAACAATGCCTCTGTGATTTTTTCTTTAATTGTTTGCACATTGTTAACAATATTTTTTGATTTTACTATTTTAAAGAATATCTGTGGTTCGGTTTATTTATTTTTAATCTAATTAATACAAAATATAATTAATGGTACAGAAAGGAACAATAGCCTTTACAATTTTCTAACAAATTAAATTCCCGACTACGAAATCAGTCAAATATTACACCTCAATTTAAGTGGTGCCGTACTGGTGGCACAAAAAGTCGTGGAAAAGCCCTCATTGAAAGCAAACTGCCAAATATTGACGTTAAATATATGCTACGAGGTCTTGACCTGTCTAGAAAAGAGGAGCGCATGGGAAATTTGAAATAGTTTGAAACAGTTTACGAATTATTTTATTAGTCGATATTATTGATTGAGCAGATTGAAAAGGCAAGCTCTTTGCCTCTAGTGCTTACGGAAAGCAGACGTGTTTGTGAAATAGCATAAAATATTAAAATTTTAACATTAGTTTGACAGTTAAAAGTGACCCTTACGCCCATATTTCTAAAGTCTGATTACTTAAGTGCATAATAACAAAAGTACACAGTGGCACATACGCAGCCCCGCTCAGTAGGCACCGTGAGTAACGAAAACAGCTGCCGTTTCCATTGCATTCGCACTCGTACGAAGACTTTGCATACGACGACGCGACGCATCACGCAATGAATCTACAGAGAACACCGCCTAGTGGAATATTGATAAGCGGGAGCCGAAGCGCCAGCGGGTCGGTGCCTAATTTACCCACTCATAGTAACAAGGATTTTCATTCCAATGTGTCTCTGAGAAAAAGAAAGGAACGCATTGATGAAATAGACTATAAAAAAGATTTTGCAAGCTTTCGTACAGACATGATGAAGTTCTTAGAAGAATTCGTAAAAACACAAAATGAGAATCTGAAATACATACGTGAAGAAATATCGGAGATTAAAAATGAAATAAAAACAATAAAATCAACAACAAAAAACTTTACACAACGATTTGAACAAATAAACTCTGAAATAGAAAATATTAAATACAATCATACTGCTACTCAAAACCAAATAAAAAACATAGAAAGTGAAATAACCCTGATAAAAGATAAACAACACATTGAAAGTTCAACGGATAAATCGCCCGTCTTGTGCCACGAAAACCTCGTCCTTGAACTCAAAGACCGATACGACCGTGAGAAAAACATCATTATTGTGGGTATACCCGAAATAAATGAAAAAAATTCAAAAGTGAGACGAAATTACGATAATGAAGAAGTTATGAAGTTGTTGATATCATTACATGAAAACTGCCCAAAACCAATTAAATGTATAAGACTAGGGAAATATGTTTCAAACAAAAGCCGGCCTATAAAAGTTTTCTTTAACAATATAGATACTCCGAAATATCTCTTACGGAATAAAAAGTACCTAGCCGAAAATCTTAGTATTTACTCAGATCAAACGCCAATTCAAAACACTATTTAAGGCAGCAATTGAAAGAAGAATTAAAGAAACGAACAGAAAAAGGCGAAAAGGACCTTGTTATTAAATATATAAAAGGCACACCTTCAATTGTTATAAACAAAACCCATCAAAAAAACCAATAATGGCTTCACCACAAACCGGAAAAAATACGGATAGATTAAGCCATCAATTAGTAAACAATTACGAAAACATTCCATTGCACCCGTCCTCCTTAAGATTTTTTTATGCTAATTTACGTAGTATTCGCAAAGCTGGGAAACTCGACGAAATAAAATGCATATTAAAAGCAATACCGATGACTACACATTTATTAATTTTTACTGAGACATGGATTACTTCGGAAACCGACGCAAAATTATATCAGATACCAAACTATAAAAATATTTACAATTATAGACAAAATTACAAAGGTGGTGGCGTTTCAATTTACGTACATAATAGCATAAAATACGATATATCGGAAGAATTGTGTGAAAATGGAAACCACTACTTATGGATAAGGTACATAGATAAACTATCTTTAAACATCGGTGCAATATACAAACCTGGAAGTTCTAATGTAAACAACTTTTTAGAAACATATTCCTCACAGTTGGAATGGAGGAGAAGGGCGATTGTGTTTGGAGATTTTAACATTGATCTACTTAATACAGATAGTAACGTCACAAAATACCTAGCTGAAATAAAAGATATTGGATATGAAATATTGAATAAAATTAATAGGCTGTACAGTACTCGTGAAACCACCACCACAAGCACTATACTGGACCATGTATGTACGAATATAAACAATCACTCATTTAGTTTCTCAATTGAATCGTGCCTATCTGATCATAAGCAGATATTTCTTGAAATAAGCAACTTAACAACAAAGACACATAAAAGAGTTCAATATATGGCGCTTGATTACGAAAAGTTATACAACACTACTTTAAAAGCCAAATACACTAATGAAGAAAATGACTATTACTACCTAGAGAGATTTATGTTAGAACAAATAAACAAAAATAAAGTAAGCAAGACAAAAATTCTTAACCCTCCACAAAAAGACTGGATAAACCGAGATATTATAAACTCAATAAATTTACGAAACAACTTATGGCAGCAGAATAAGTCTCACCCAAAAGACGATAATCTACAATAAAAACTTAATTAAAGAGCAGAACAAAGTGAAAAACGTTATCAATACACACAAGAAAATCTACTATCGTAAGTTATTTCATAACAATTATAATAAACCTAAGAAAATGTGGGAGATAATTAATAACTTAGCGTTAAACAAAATTAGAGACAGCAGTGCAAACTAATATCGAATACTGAACTAATAACAGAAGGTAATTCAATATGTGACTTATTTAACTCATTTTTCTCCTCAATAGGTTTGGACTTGGCTAACAAAATTCCTAATAAGTATCACATAAACAGCGATAACACGCTTATGTACGAACTTAACTACACGCATGAAATAACACTTAGTGAACTTACACCCTGTAATATCACAGAAGTATCAAAAATAATCGACGATCTTGATACCAACACTAGTACTGGTCTAGATGGCATCAGCACCAAAGCGATTAAATGTCTGAAAATTATAATTGTAGAGAGGCTAACGAACTGCATAAATATGTGTCTGACACGCGGTGTTTTTCCCGACACACTTAAAATTGCTAAGGTCAGTCCTATTTTTAAATCCGGAAGTAGGACTGACCCAAGCAACTACAGACCAATCTCTGTCTTGCCTGTTATATCAAAGATATTTGAACGAATACTTTATAACCGCCTAAATGAATACCTAATAAAAAAGAAGTTTTTAATTGACCAACAATATGGCTTTCGTTCCAAATCGAGCACTCCGACAGCTGCAGTAGACTTAATCACAAAAATTAAAACTCAAATCGATCAAAAGAATATCGCTTTAGGGATTTTTATTGACATAAAAAAAGCATTTGACACAGTAAGCCATCATAAATTGTTGCAGAAACTAAACAACATAGGCGTTACAGGCAAGGCCCTCAAAATGTTTACATCGTTTTTACATAATAGGCGACAAGTTGTTCAAATGGATAATTTTACCAGCTCGATTAAAAACGTATCCTACGGCTGTCCTCAAGGCTCAATTATAAGTCCATTATTGTTTTTAATCTATATAAATAATATAAACAAATTAGGGCTAACAGGTCACCTAACATTATATGCCGACGACACATGTCTCTTCTATTTCGATAAATCTATTCACAACATTATAACCTATGCTCAAAAAGATCTTGCTTACTCGGAGAATGGTTAAAATATAACTTGCTAACAATTAATATGTCAAAAACATCTTTCATGATTTTTTCTACAAAGAAACTTTACCAGAGTTTGCACATCTTACTATTGAAGATAAAATAATAAAACGTTCAACTCAGGAAAAATATCTAGGTCTATTGGTAGATGATTAAAACTACTTTTACGGATTTTATCGCGTTTATTTTTACTTTTTATTTTTTTTTAATTCCCGACGTTTCGGGCGCTTTCCAGCACCCATGGTCACGGGGGACTGAGATGACTGACGTCCCGATGTCATTGTTAAACCCGGAGTACCTTCAGCTTTTTTAATTATTGTTTATGGTCCGATCTATGCAAAATGAACTGACTATGTCCTGAGGTCTTGCAGTGGTATGCTTGGGTTTAGTTTTAATTTTATCGATTATAGGATCCCAAGTAGGTGGTAGTACCCAGCCTCCTTCTCTATTGAAATTAGGATGTTTTTTAATTTCAATAGCCTCACGTATCATCCTTGGTAGGAATCGGTGTTCTTTCGCGAGGATTTGTGGTATATCAAATCTGATGTACCTAATGGTTGGGGCTGTCTAGGATATGATCGCAAACTGCAGACTTCCCGGAACGTTGATGCTTCACATCAGCTATATGTTCTTTTACGCGGATCCTAATTGATCTTTTGGTTTGTCCTATATAAGAGAGACCACATTCACAATCAAGCTTGTACACTCCTGCATCTTGTAGAGGAATATGACACTTGACGGATGGTAGGAACTGACTAATCTTCTTCGGCGGCTTGTAGAATATTCTAATAGAAGCTCGCTTCAAGATATAGCCAATCTTGTCTGTGACACCTCTGACGTATGGTAGTACAGCAGGCACACGCTCGACTGTGGCCGGCTTCACTCGGTCACTGTGACGTAGGCGCGGGACCCGAAGCTTGTTGTCGTGCAGAACTTGCTTGACGTGCTGAAGCTCGGCGGCCAGGTGTTTGCTGTCACAGATCCCTCGTGCTCTCTGTAACAAAGATTTGCCCACGGTAGCTAACTGTGAAGGATGGATGTGAAGGATGGTCTTCTTAGGTGGCAACCGAATAACCACTGGAGATTATTAGCACCCCCTGCCCCACCGTTACCGTGGTCGCCACCGTAGCCAGGACTAGCGGGGCCGCCGGGGACTGGGGGCCGTTTCTTTGTAACTGTCATCATGGGGGGAATGATTGCCATAGTTGGCAACCGCAGCTTTATTATTGTACTATTACACCGTCATATATAATAGGTCATTACATATGAAATTGGCGTTTTGTACGGGAGGAATATAAGGTCAATTTTTTTTTATTGTAAAATATATTTAATTATTCAAAGTATGCACCGTTGTTATTTATGCACTTTTGCCATCTCATAGGTAGTTCACTGATCCCTTTACTAAAAAAACAATGGGGGCGAGACTCAATAAACTTTTTGAAGGCCGTTTGGATTGTCGCATCGGAATTGAATTTATTCCCTTGTAAGAAGTTGTCCAAATTCGAAAATTTCTTCGAAAATTCGGAAAAAAAAAAAAGGAAAAAATGGTAATCTGTTGAAGCAAGGTCCGGGAAGTACGGTGGATGTCGCAGACATTGCAATTGTAGCTCATCTAACTCAGTGGTTGTTTGTTGTGCCGTGTGTCTTGCAGTGAGTGGCCTAGAGCTGTTGACCAATCTCGGTAGTTTAGCAGCTAGTTCTTCCTTCATCGTTTGCAGTTGCTAACAATAGATATCGTAATCGTTTGGCCGGATTTTAGAAAGCTGTAGTGAACGACACCGGCGCTAGTCCACCAAACACTCACAAGTAACTTTTTCTGAGTCAATTTTCGTTTAGGGCACAATTTGGCTAGGTCTCCAGAGTTCAGCCATTGCGACGAGCGCTTTCAATTATCGTACAGTATCCACTTTTCATCACAAGTAATGATTCGATTTAAAATCCCTTCATTTTTGTGTCGGTCGAGCAAAGTAACATAGCATCGAAGCGTGTTTGCAAGTTCGATTCACTCAATTCATGAGGTACCCATCGTTCAAGTTTTTTTTTACTTTCCCAATTAGCTTCAAGTGGATTAATACAGTTTTATCACTTACCCCGAAGCCTGCAGCTATCTCTGAAGTGCTTTATGATGGATTCGCTTCCACAATAGCCTTTAATTCTTCATTTTCCACTTTGGTCTCCGGCCGTCCACGGGGTTGGTTCTGAAGGTCGAAATTTCCAGAACGAAAACGTTGAAACCAAAAACGTACCGAGCCTTCTTTTCAGACACCAGCGCCGTACACATCCTTCGAGCTGTTTCTGCAGCGCTGGTGCCCCGGTAGAACTCGTACTCGTAAATATACCGATATTTCATGTTTTCCATTGTGCGGTAATAAGCAAAAAAAAAACAATGAGGAAAAAAACAAATGAATAACTGTTTTCAAAACTCAAATGTACCAGCTAAATGAATTTACAAATTTGAATTTGTAATTCTGAACCAAAAAGGAGATATTTCAAATCAAAGTGGTCATTACGACAAAATGCTAATTTCATCTGTAAGGATCCAGTCCAATATAATTAGTTAAGTCTAGGCAATTTCTTATTTAGAAATATTTTTTTTAGAAAATAAGTCCTATTTTTATGCAAGCTGGATCAGTTCAGAACAGTTTAGAGAAGCATTATTCAGGGTTTTATAACAAAAAAAAGTTGCAAAAAATAAAGATTTGTGGCAACAGGAGTGAAAAGACTATCGCAGGATGTGAAATTTTTCTTTTTTTTCAAATGTCTATAATTTTGAAAAGGAGCAAATTAGATTTTTTTTAATTTTTCTGACAACCAGCATGACTGACTTTTCACCCGGTTCCGGGTAGACGTCGAGTTTTGGGTCACTCTGTATACATCTCCTGCCTGTTTTTCTCCGTCGCTTCTTTCGCCAGCCACGGGAAGGTGTGGGGCAGTGGATAGTTCTAAACGCCACGGCAACTTATTTACATAACATTAAAAAATTCAAATCAATTCCTGTACGACGCACATTATAATTATAATTTGATACTACCGAGAATATGGGTGACAGACACAGTCCACCTGATGGAAAGTTAAAAATACTTTGGTCTTCTCTGTCGAGTTCATGTTAATGCCTAGTTAGTAACAGATGTATGTGGGCATTCAATCGATGGTCACCTTGATGTCATAAAAATTGACGTAATGAATGAAGCTCAATTAGCGCAGTACTTGTATGGTTTACAAATTATTGCAACCGGGTACGGCTGTTTGCTTACGTGCCATAAATGTGTACGTAAGAAGTTTTCATGATGCAGTATAATTTCTATATGTTTGGGACGTGTGGATAAAAAATGGGATTAGAAATGGCGACTTATCAAACTTTTACTATCTGCATACACTGTATACAAAAGGATTAAACGTTAATAACGTTATATTCCAATAACAATAGTGTATTGATTAGAGCATATTGGGTTTTTTAGGAACTGAATAATTATTATATTAAATCAATTCAATTTTGTAATAAAATTACACTATTCATGTAATATTATAATAGTGAAAAGGGAAGCAAGTCAATTTACAAATAAAAAAATAAGTTATGCAATCATTGAGACTTCTAAATAAAACAACTTAATAATTAAATTAAAAGTATATTGAACGGTTCTAATGTGTTACTTGGGCCGTAAGTTAAAAGCAATAAAAGCTGAAAAGGATTATTGCAATACCTGAACAACGTTATTTTTGTTATCGTTACTGGCGGGTTTGAGTATAGGCAGACAGTGTGCCAGCGAACAGAGGCGACGCCATTTATAATCCAAGCGAGAGGTAAATAGAGGCGATGCCATTTATAATCCCATTCTTTATCCGCGCGAAATATAAAGAGATAACGAAAGTAAGTACGTAACGTACCGTATGTGGCGATGACGCGCACGCAAGAGGTCAGCACGGTGGGCAGGCGGTCGTCGAGCGGCGCGGCGAACAAGCCGCGGGGGGCGCGCGCGCGGCGCGGTGGGCTGGCGGGGGGCGGCGCGGGGGCCGGCGCGCAACCCCCGGGGCCGGGCGGCGGCGGGGGCGCCGGCAGCAGGCGCTCGCGCACCGCCGCCGCCTTGCTCTCCAGTCGCGCCAGCCGCCCCGCGCTGCACACGTACGACCGGAACTTCTGCACACGCACACGTACACACCTCACACTCGACATCACACATTCATCCCCGCTATATGCGGTCTATCGGCGGACATATGTCAAATAAATAGCGGAGAAGAACTAATACTAGAGAACCCATTTCAATTGAAAATTTTAAAGTCTTATCATAAGATCTTTAGGACCATTGTGGTTCCAGCTCGAAGGGTCAAATTGAAAACACACAGATAAAAACAGTAAGATATTTTAGGACACATAATACAATGGACATTTAATTGCTGTATAATTTATTTCAATCACTTTTATAGTTCTCTGATTAATAAACAGATAAATCGGAACAAAAACAAATATTGTAAGAATAGAGCTCTTCGAAACCAAAGAAAGTTTCGGATGAATTATAAGATATCTTATATTATCTTAACTACATCTTTAGATAAATAATGATATGTATTATATACGTGATAGCTTGCTTCAATTTATTATAGTTGTAGCACGAATGGACCACATAGAATACCGGCGTAAAATAGCAGTGAGTTTAGAGAATCAGAGACACTTTTTACTCGATACGAGGCATTACATCTAGTTATCAGGAATAACGACGCATCTACAATATCCATTTGCCGTCAGGTGGACTATACGCTCGCTTGTCGCCTTTATTGTATAAAAAAGAGATGAGATACCGCCAGGTAGTAGTCCTCCTGCGCGCGGCGCGGCGCCTCGTCATCGTCGGGCGGCGCTTGCGCGGGCGCGGGCGCCCAGTGCTGTGCGCTGCCCTCCATCTGGCGCACGAGCTCAGCCTCGGCCGCGTCCAGTGTCTTGGCGTGCTCACGGCACTCCACGCGCAGCGCGCGCGCAGCCGCCTCCAGCTGCGCCAGTCGCGCCCGCAGCTCGCCCACCACCTGCCCGCATGCCCGTTGCGCTACTGTCACTCGCCACAAACCAACAAACCACCCGCCACGATACATCCTTCTAACATCTCAAACGGGCTCAGACGCATTCTGGTACACACCCATGCGATACACATATATGTATATACACAAGAAGTGCAACAGAAAGGAAACTTTGTCCATTGTCACTTCAGCTTACGAATATTAGGCTATACTGTGCATGGGAGAATTCGGAGGATGCTTTGGAAATATTTTGTAATTTTTTCAAGGCTGGTAAGACTGCAATGAAGAAGCTACATCATTATGGTGTAAAAACATAACATTTAAACTTGTTACATCAAACTTAAACAAAAAGAACACTAACAGTTGTGATTATTGGGAGCAGTTCTTTCGGATCGAAAATATCTACGGGTGTCCCTCAAAGCTCAATTCATGACCCCTCTTGTTCTTATTTTACATTAATGACTTACCTTACTTGATAGGGTAATAACCTTGATATAGTTTTATTTGATGATGATACTGCGTTGATTTTCTGACTTGTGAGAAAAGGTGATTTAGTTTCTAAAGCAATAAAAGCATTGCAAATAAAAGAGTACTCTCTCAATTACTTTTATCTACTAAGTATTTAATTAGTCGATTCAGACCGTGAAGTCTTTCGTAGTTAAAGCAAAAGATGTAAAAAATTCCGTAAATTTTCCTATCTTGATCCAAATTTCTTCAGAAAATAATTATGTTTTTCGAAACTATGTGTGGATGCGCGAAAGGTATTGCGGGGCGAACGATCAAGTGGACTGTATTAGCGTGGTCCAAATGAGCCAAAAACAAAATGGAGGACATGGCACGTGGCGGACTTTGGACGGTATACTTGCTATAAAATTAATTTAATGCGTTAGCCGGCACCACGGAATACGTGTTGCTGCGGAAAAAGGAACAACAAAATAAAAACAGCTCAAAATTAAGGAATGGGCACACTTACCTGGGGAAGCTGCGAGCGGCCTCTCTCTACGACTTTGCGAACACGACGAAAATTGAATTGCACTGGGGCGAACGGTGGCAGCGCACGCCCTTTTACAGCTCTTACCATCTTACCACTTCCATCCAAGCGGAGCGCGCCTCTCATTGGAAGAACAAAGATGCGTCCACTAATATCTAGCTCTCCCCTTTAGCAGGCCCGTGCCCCCAAGTAACGAATGCGAGGGGAGATTATGCCGGCCAACTTAACTAGCAAAATACATCAACAAATACAAAACACAAAGGCGTGCGTTGGCGCAACCAATGTGCGTAACATAAATAGCTTGACAGAAAGAACACCGATTCCTACCAAGGATGATACGTGAGGCTATTGAAATTAAAAAACATCCTAATTTCAATAGAGAAGGAGGCTGGGTACTACCACCTGCTTGGGATCCTATAATCAATAAAATTAAAACTAAACCCAAGCATACCACTGCAAGACCTCAGGACATAGTCAGTTCATTTTGCATATTAAGTAGATCGGACCATAAACAATAATTAAAAAAACTGAAGGTACTCCGGGTTTAACAATGACATCGGGACGTCAGTCATCTCAGTCCCCCGAGACCATGGGTGCTGGAAAGCGCCCGAAACGTCGGGAATTAAAAGTAAATAAAAAGTAAAAATAAACGCGATAAAATTCGTAAAAGTAGTTTTAATCATGTATAGTGTTCGCGTAAATATAAGAAATCATTAGCTTGACAGAATTTAGAGATATTTATTAGATATCTTTTTTTAATGTACTTCACATTACAAGTAAATGACATTTAGTAAGTGGAATATATTACTGTGTGAGCGGTACCTCTTGCGGCGGCTCGTCGACGTCCTCGTTGGCAGTGTCCGCAAGCAGGTCGTGTATGTCGCGGTCGAGGTCTTCTGGCAGCGGTGGGCGCGGCGGCAGCGGCGGCGGCGGCGTGAATGCGGCGGCGTGCGCGTGCAGCAGGCGGCGGCGGTCCGCTAGCGCGTCTAGCGCGCCCGCCGCCGCCAGCAGCGCGCTCGCCGCCGCGCCGCGCGCACGCCCACCTGCGCCTTCCGCACCGCCAGCCGTGCGCACTGCGCGCCCGACCACCGCCTCGAATCCCACCTCCGTGCACTGTACCACACACGCACAACATACAAACATTTCAACTCAAACTTCTTTACAATCGTTATCACTTGAAACTAGATCAAACGAAAAAGGGACAAACATATACATCTACAGGATTTAGCATGCGAGAGAATGAGATAGTATACAATGTTTCTTATTGGATCGGTCTTAAAATATATACTATATAAAAATGAATTAATCTTCTTCTTTTTAAAGTGCCTTTTTTTTTCGAAGGTCGGCGATCATTAAGGCAACTTGGATCTTTGATGCCGCGGCTAAATATCTTTCCACCATTGCTATTTTTCAGCCAAGCTTCTTCACCCAACTTTCCTTATCCCCTTAATAAGTTGCAGTAGATCTATTTTCGTTTCTCATTATTGCCGAGATATTCAAGCTTTCTTTTCTTTACTTAAATATACAACTTCTGATTTTTTCTTTATGCGACTTAGCACTGTTACGTTCTTTATTTTGTCTCTCCAGGGTATTCTTAACATTCTCCTGTATACCCACATTTCGAAGGCTTCAATATTCTTACAGCTTGATTCTGTGAGTGTGAGTGTGTGAGTGGGTCCATGCTTCAATGCCATACAAAAGAATGGAGAAAACATAACAGCGTGCTAATTGTACTCGTATCTGGATATTCAGCTTTTTACTGCACAGAAGTGACTTAAGCTTAAAGATAGCATTACGGGCTTGTTCTATGCGGCACCTTATTTCAACACTGGTCTCCCGTATCATCAGCCCAGCATCCCAAATATTTGTGTTTACTAACTTTTTGTAGAGGCTGTCCATTACATAGTAGAGAAGGGTTAGCAGGTGGGTTTTACAAACTGTCATATATTTGGTTTTCCTGGTGGAATTTTATCTATAAGGATCTGAAGTTCTTCCATTGTAGATGCAATAAGTACAGTGTCATCAGCATAACGGATATTGTTGATAATCTGACCATTCACTGTGATATCTACATCCACCCGATCCAAAGCTTCACGGAAAATCATCTCTGAGTAAATGTTGAAAAGAATTGGCAAGAGAATACATCCCTGCCGTACTCCACGTAAGATTTTCGAGTCATCTGTTAGTTTGCCCTCTATACGTACATTCGCCGATTGGTTCCAATATAGGCGTTTAATGAACCTTACGTCCTTAGAGTCGAGTCCGATGGATTGTAATATATCAATCTTTCTTGCATGCTGTACTCTATCAAATGCTTCTTCATAATCGATAAAATATACGAGTACAAACACATCTTGATTTATGTCCCAGCATCTCTGTATTAAAACTTGATACCCGAAAAGTGCATCTCTCGTTCCCAGGCCATTGATGAACCCAAACTGTGTTCTTGAAATGAGGTCTTCACATTTACTATAAATTCTTTTATGAATTACTTTAAGGAATAATTTTAGGATATGACTCATTAAGGAGATTGTTCTATATTCGCTGCATTTCTTCGCAGAAGCAACTTTGGGCAAGGTGACAAAGGTGGATTTGAGCCAATCCGATGGCATGACGCCCGAGTCATATATTGTGTTAAATAACTTTACTATTATTCCTAAGTTAGCATACTCAAGTAATTTAAACAGTTCCACGGGTAATTCATCTCCGCCTACAGATTTTCCTGATTTGGACATGTTAATGACATAAGCAATTTCGCTTGTATTAATAGGTGGTCCAGTCAATTCACTTCCACATGAACTTGGTTCCAGAGCAGGTAAAACATCATGGAATAGTGTTGTTATATATTTCTGCCAAATATTAAGTTTATCTTCAATTGTTTTGGCAGGATTTCCCTGATCATCCAGTAATACGTTACAGTTCATGTTTCGTGTTTTAACAGTACCGGTTATATCTGTGATTTTCTTATGCACATTAAAAGAATAATACCTGGCCTCAAACTCTTCTATCGCAATACATTGGTCAACCATCCATTTTTCTTCCGCTTCAACCACTTTTCTTTGGATTATCTTGCGTATGATTTTGTATTGTTGATCGTCTACTCCTTTGTATGTTTTACGCTGTTCCATTAGGTTTAGGATCTCCTGCGTGATACAGCGGTTTTTTGTTTCATGGTTTAATGGTTGGAGGATTCTTTTACCAATATCAACAAGATTTTCCTTTAATTTAGTCCATGTCTCTTCTACGTCAACATTTGGACCAAGCTCTTTATTCAAGCGGTCAACAGCCATATTTATTTCTGTGGCTGCCTTAAGCCGTATTTCCGGTTCTTTAAGTCTAGTCACATTCATTTGTTGCTTTTTTGATTTAGGTTTTAGAATTTTCAATTACAGCGAAGGGATGCAACAACCGGATTGTGATCAGAACCAATATCGGCACCTGGGTAGGTTTTGACTGACGTTAAACCGTTGCGATATCTTCTGTTAATATATATATATATATATATATATATATATATATATATATATATATATATAATAATCTATTTGATTAAGGACGATCTTCTTGGGCGAATGTAATGGTGACGTCCACGTATACAATCTTCTTGGAGGTTGCTTAAAGTGGGTGTTGGAAATTATAAGACCGTGTTCTTCGCAGAATTGTAAAAGGAGGTCACCGCGATCGTTTCTTTTTCCCAGTCCTTATGAACCAACGATGCCCGAGACGTTGCCCTCCCCATTTTTGCATTAAAATCACCTTGGACGAGAATAATGTTATGTGGATTAAGATGTTTAAGGACGGTTTCTACTTTTTCATAAAAGAGTTCATTATCCTCGTCTGAATATTTCTGGGTTTTGCTTTTAACTCTAAAACTAAAACTCTGCCCTATATTGGTAGGAAACTGTGGACCTGATAATGTAAATGTCTGCTGATGATAACGGCCACACCGTTGTAGTGATTTTTATCATTATTACCGCTATAATACACTACTGTGTCATCCCGTACTAAGACTCCAGTACCCTGGTGCCTGGACTCACTCACTCCAAGGATATTTCTCTATCTTAATTCCTAGCATTTCCCGTTCTATATTCACCATTTTATAGGTGCGGTACATACTCTTGACGTTCCACGTAACAATCGTCATAGCTGACCCGGAGATTCTACGCATCCTCTGACCATCTAAGGTCTGCCGGGGACTGAGGGTCATTTTATATTGTTCTCAGCCATAATGATCTTCCTGGGGAAGTATATGTGGTATAAATATAAAATGTGTTCTTCCTTTTGAAAAATCTTGTTTATTAACCGATTGTTTAGAAAATCGATATCTAAAGGTCCTTCTGATGTCTGAAGAATCTGATGTCTATTCTTTATTAATTTATCGATTGCTTTTAAAGTTTTTGTGTTTTTAAAACTACAGATACTAAATTAAAAAACAACGAACATTTTTTGAAATCCTAACAAATATTAGTATTCAAAATGGTGGTTAGTTTTTTTAATTCTAACAACAGATTCTTGATCTGAAACGACATAACTTTACGTGGTAGAGCCATACTGCAGCCATGTTATAGTTGTAGCACGAATGGGTTGGCTTTAACGGGGAGGACCACGCTTTCACAGAATACCAGCGTAAAGGTGTTTCATATGGTGAGTGTAGATAATCGGAACGCGTTTTACTGGATAGGAGGCATTACATGTTAGTCCTCACTGGTAACAACGCATCTTTTTCCGATGGGGGCGGGATGTGTACTCACGAGCATGATGTCTGCGACGTCGTCGAGGTAGTAGCGCTGCAGCGTGGCGTTGGCGGCCTCCAGGCTCAGCACGTAGTCGGCACGCGCGCGCAGCGCCGCCGCGCGGGCCTCCGCGTGCCGCGCACGTCGCTGCCACACCACACGCAACACTCTCTCAATTCTCACGAGGATAGGTATTCAACTATAAGTCTTTATCTTACTAGGTGAGGGGAAGCTTCTCCCTCGCGAGCTACATATAAACGAACTTTAATTCTATATTTAATATATACCAATTATAGTCAATAAAATGTAAACACGATCTACAATCAAATATGTGTCTGTCGTGTGTCAAATGTTCGTTAAAACATAGATTCAAAGTTACACACTCTCTCAAGATTTGAGATTTTCGGTCAAAATGGGCCCAACTTCATCCTAATATTTCAAGATAATAAATCAATTTAGAACAATTTGAAAACACGACACGAAACACTAAAAATTTTGTCCACATTTTCATACTGCACACAAGAAGGCTTACTTAAACTCTTCAACATAAAGTTACACAATAATTAATGGTTTTCCCTGTATACAGTAACATGTATAATATTTCATGCGCTACTGTCTGAAATGGAGTTATTAAGTCATCAAGTTCAGACACAGATGCTCTCTAAATCGTATTTGTAAAACATAGATTCAAGTTGCATTTTAGTGTTTGTATCCTAGAAATTAAGATATTTTTTGCTTGAAATAAATTATTACTATAGGGTATTTACACATTTTTATCATGTGGTTGGGCCGTACAAAATTATTGATGAAAATGATAAATAAAAATTATAAATGTACATTAATAATATAATAAAATAAATCAACATATGATACGTAAATAAATAAAAAGCCAACCAGATAGGAACCCTCGCCAAACACAACAGCCACAGGTTAGAGTGAATGGAAAGAAACCGGCGGACAATACGGGCAATATCGAGGAGCACAGGAGGCAGCAGGGGGTCCGTCACGGAGTCCCAGGCACTTCAATGATCCAAGAGGCTTACCAGGATTAGCCCGTTTCCAGTGACAACTACAGGAATAATTTCGGTCGGCAAAGCACACAATACGTCGCACACCTCGTGAGTCAGTTATTTTGATATATTGTTCGCTTACCTGTTTCGGTTCAATGAAGAGTGGTTATTATATAATAGTTGGATATTTATAGAGTATAGTTATCTGGTTGCGCTGAATAAATATATTATTAATATTTAGAATGACGATGACAAAATTGAAGGTCACCTTCTGCAGGTCCTTGTCGAGCGCCTTGAGCTTGCGCGAGCGCGGCGCGTCGGGCGGCACGGGCTCGGCGTGGCGCTGCAGGTGGGCGGCGCGCAGCTTGAGCGCCTGCGCGCGCCAGGCGGCGGCCGCGGCCGCGTGCGCCTTGCCGGCCGCCGCCGCCTCGGCCAGCGCGCCGCCCAGCTCCTCCTGGCGCTCGGCCAGCAGCTCACGGCCGCGCCGCTGCAGCCGCGCCACGTCGTCGGCCGCGCGCTGCAGCCGCGCCGCCAGCGGCCCGCCGTACAGCTCGCCGAGCGCCGCGTGCTCGCGCGCCAGCACCCGCGTCTGCTCGAGCGCCGTCTGCCAGCACGCGAACGCGCCCGTCAGCGCCCACTGCTCGCGCCTGCATCACACACGCACCGCACCTCGCTATACCACTTGCACATCGCTCCATGGACTATAACCCACTCACTTCTACCATGTATACTACCACTACGCCAGCAATTTAGAACATGAACTGTGTCACAGTTGCGGGTTGCGCGAACGCACACTTTTTTTTGGATGAAATAAATGATTTTTATTCAATATAGATTATTATTGCATATTACTTATTGAGACATTTTTTTATTTACCACTGACTCGGGAAAAAACCTTTTTCCTAGGACAGGGGTCGGCAACCTGCGGCTCGTGAGTTACAAGTCACTCTTTGGATGTGAAGCTGCGGCTCTTTAGTTCCATACGCAAATATTACAAAAAATATTTAAAAATCATTCTGAATCGATTAACGAGTATTTGGCACCATTTCTATCTCTCAGCCACTTGCACTCACTTTTCACCGCACCCCTCCCCGGTGACACGCGTCGTCACTGTCGTAAGTCCGTCAAAAATTCTTGAATGTATATTTTTCTTATTTATGCAAGTACTATTTATGCTTGGCAAGAAAAAAAATTGTGGCTCTTTAAGAACTTTAAAATTTTGTAAATTGTAATTTTTGACTCTTCCGACTCAAAAGGTTGCCGACCCCTGTCCTAGGCGTAACCAGAAAGAATCCCAGCAGGACTTTTTAACATATTTCACTTTACGATAATTTATTTTGTGCTATTTTTGAATGAATTTTTATAGAGCATGCATGGTAGCGATCACCGCATACCTAGGGGTTACTTTCATTTATATATTCTTATATATTATAATAACCCTTTTTGTGCAATTTTTCTTTAATAAAACAATTATACTTGTTTAATAACAAAGGACAATGTCCAGAATCGCCCCGTGTAATAAAAGCATCGGACACACACGATAATTGATAGTCTAATTTATTATTTTAGTTGCAAATACTTTTATAACACAGACTCGTTACATACCAAAATGAATATTAAAAAGTATTTTATTCAACTAATAACTTTAATCGCCGCCATCTTGTGGTGTTGAAAAATGATTAAGGATGACCAATAGACTGTAATCGACCTTATTAATTTTCAACGGATTGTTGCATATTTTTATTCTGAATGACAATTTGAGTTTATTTCAAATAAAGTACATACACATAAAAGGTGCAATAAAAACAGTCAATAAACATTTCTTTATATTCCTAAATATTACTCCCTAAAATTATAATTTAAACACCTACTATACCTAATGAATAAGGTCTATATTGGTACTCGTAATACTCGATTTTAAATAGGTAGTTAAACATAATGCTGAAGTGAACAAACTCTACATGTTTCATCATGATCATTATTAATTATTCAGAGTTTTCTAATGAACGTTTAGAAAAGTGGTAGATCCACGCTGCAGCTATATTACGGTTAGCACGAATGGGTCGGCTCGACCGGGGAAGGACCACGCTCTCACAGAATACCAGCGTAAAATAGCAGCTTAATGCTGCTGTGTTTCATATGGTTAGTGTAGAGAACCGGAGACATTTTTTACCGAAAACGAGACATTCAATTTTATTCCTCAAGGGTGACAACGCATCAGAAACAGAAACAGAAACTTTTTTATTCAATGTGGATTATAAACAATACTCATTGAAAACGAAACATTCAATTTTATTCCTCAAGGGTGACAACGCATCAGAAACAGAAACAGAAACTTGTGTGTGTTCTGGGGGAGGGGAGGACGAAAATCCACTCGAAACTAAACCTGCCACGCTATCCGTAAATTAAATTCAAACCTTAACGTCGTCCTCTACCATCTGCATACGGCGAAGCCGACCTTGCTCTATCTAACCGAGACATAGTGTGTCCTCTCCGACTGATACTTTGTATCTCTCCTACCCGGGGCACAAATCCGATCACTCCATTGCCCCGCGCTGGTTTGCGTGTACGTCAGAGAAGACACCTGTTCTCGACGCCTCGGTAGTCTTGAAGGTTCGAACCTATCCATCTTATGGCTGCGCGTAGACAGCGATGACCATTCCGCGTCTACGGGTGCCTCTATAGGTCCCATAGCGGTAATGCCGAAACAGACCGACTCATCGACCACGTGCAGATGGCTACAGACTCCGTGCTACATCAAGCTCCATCCGCAGAGATCTTGATACTTGGTGATTTTAACGCTCACCACACTGAATCTCTTAGTTCTCGTTTGACCGATCATGCGGGTAAATCTGTTTATGACTTTGCTTTGGCATATGATCTGACATTATAGGTCAGCCGATTGGGACGGGATGCGATCTTTTTTTGCATCCTACCTTTGGAGGCGGGTTTGCTTTTCGCCGGATGATCCCAGCGTTGTTGCTGATTCTGTCGCTGATGTGGTGCTACAGGGAACGGAACTTTTTAATAGAATAAAAAGTTCCGTTCCCCGAAATCTGTGGTACCTATCGGAAGCAGAACCCAGCCATGGTTTGGTCGCTCCTGAAAAATTGCATTACCCCATAAGCAAGAGTGCTACCAGACCTGGGCGTCTCGGGATGCAAATACCAGCGCTCTTAAAAAGAAGTATAATTCCGCCTCAGGTCCTTCAAGTGTCATTGTCAAAGCAAAGTCACAGCACATCTGCAGAATTGGCGAGAAACTAGTTCCACTTCCTTTGGGAACACGTGCATTCAGGTCTCTCGCCAAGGCTGTGCAAGAAAACTTCTGTCAGCCATCTCTCCCAACTCTGCACAGGGAGGACGACTCACTAGCCCATGCCGCAAAGGACGAAGCCGACCTGCGGGGCTCTCTTTGCGTCCAACTCGACTATTGATGACGGGGAGAACACACCGCCGACCATCCCGCGGTGTGAGGGCTACATGCAGGATGTGCTGTTTACCCAACACTCGGTGCGCTCAGCAATCCTCTCCCTGGACTTCAACAAGTCAAGTGGGCCTAATGGCCTCCCTCCTATTGTGCTGAAGACGTGTGCTCCGGATTTGGCACCGGTTTTAACGCGTATTTTCCGGTACTCCTACTCCCTAGGCCTAGACTCGAAATCATGGAAGACAGCTTTCGTGCACCCGATCCCTAAAAAGGTTAACCGCTCTGATCCATCCAACCATAGGCGTATAGCCACCACCTCTTTGTTCTCTAAGCTAATGGGGTCCGTTATTAACAGCCAGCTCATGCGGTACCTTAAGGATAACCAGCTGATTAGTGACCGCCGTATGGTGTCCGTCGCGGTCGCTCGGCTGGTGATATCTGGGTTACTTAACTCATAAAAGGGTGGAGGCAGTAGAGTCCAAGAGGGAGGCATTGGCCGTTAGTTTGGACACAGCGAAGGCCTTCGATCGGGTTTGGCACAAAGCGCTTCTTACGAAGCTTCCTTTCTATGGGCTTTCCCAGAAATTGTGCAATTGGATCACCAGTTTTCTCGCATATCGGAGCATCAAGGTCGTAATACACGGTGCGATTACAAGCCCATTAACGCTCATGTTCCAGAAGGCTGCGTGCTATCACCAACGCTGTTTCTTTTGCATATCAATGACATATTGCAAACCGGTAACATTCATTGCTACGCGGACGACAGTACCGGTGATGCTTTATACACCGACCGTGCCAATATTTCTCGGGAAAACCTCGTCGAGTACCGGGAAAACTTATGTCTGAAGTAGAGTCTTTGCTGAACAAAGTCTCCGATTGGGGGCGACTAAATCTAGTCCAATTCAATCCCCAAAAGACACGAGTTTGCGTGTTAACCGCTAAAACGAACACCTTTGTCGTATCTTCACAGTTTGAAGGCATTCCCCTTGTTGCCTCAGCTAGCTATCCTCGGCGTCGACATATCGAGTGACTTGTTCGTGATCAACTGGAAGAGAAGGCCAAATGGGCCTCTAAAAAACTTGGCGTGCTCAGCAGAGCGGGATAGTATTTCATGCCGGCACACCGCCTGCAATTTTGCAAGGCTCAGGTTCGCCCGACATGGAATATTGTTCCCATCTCTGGGCTGGGGCTCTCCAGTGCCAGCTCCTTCCATTTGATCGAATCCAGCGCAGAGCTGTTCGAATCGTCGGCGACTGAGCTCTTTCCGATCAGATTGACTTACTGGCACTGCACTGAGAAATGCAGATGTTGCATCTCTTCTTGTATTTTTTTATTTATTTATTTATTACACAATTATAACATCATTACAGTTATTAAACCAATGCGATGCTATAACTAACCTAACTACTGACTAATAAATAATGGTATCTAGTATGAAATCTATGAAATTGATGGTAAAATAAAATACTAATTAAAAACATTACAATTTTCGACGCATTTGTAAGCAGCAATCATGAATTTCGTCTCACTACATCCAAATCCTGTGAGATGATATTAACATAGTGTATAGCCCGTGACCATGGTGCATTCTGAAGCAACTTCGTCCTAGCAGCGGGCACGAGGAGTAATGGGGCCGACGACGACGAAAACACACGTAATTATTAGGCACCCGCAGCTTTAACGCAGCGAGCACATCTGGGTGATATATCCATCCACGTAATACCTTCCACACATATTTAAGAAGCGTGATGTCTCTTCTCACACTTAAGCGGCTGTAACCAACCATCCCCGGTACAAACAGACTCGGATACATCAGTGGAAAACAAGGATAGATCCCGTACTGCTTAAAGTATAAAAATCGCGTGAATTTATTTTGAATTTTTCGATCATGACACTATACTTGCTTTCATGTGGATTCCAAATACTTGCGTTCGTTTCAAGTTGACTTCTTACGAAACCATTATATAAAATTCTAATAGTTAATAAATTCTGAAAATCCCTGCACTGTCTTAATATAAAGCCGAGACTCCTGAAAGCTTTTTTACAAATATTTAAAATGTGCTTACGAAAATTAAGTGCCGGGACCATTTCAACGCCTAAGTCTCTAATATATGTAACGCGCGGGATTACGAGGCCGTTCATTTCATAAGCGTACTTCTGAGGGTCTTTAGCACGACCATAACTCATGATACAACATTTATTAACATTAAAATTCAATTTGTTTTCCATTCCCCACTGCGCCAATCTGTCAATGTCCCTTTGCAGACTTTGGCAGTCAGAAGCATTGTTTACTTTCAAAAATAATTTAAGATCGTCGGCAATAGCAAACACTGCGCCTCTTTAACGACTGTAGGAATATCATTAACCATTAACATAAATAATAAAGGGCCAAAATTACTCCCTTGATTCACACCAGAAAAAGTACAATACGGCTGCGATACAAAACCTGCGAAATCTACGTATTGTTGACGTCCGCTCAGATAATTCGCAAAGAAATCTACTAAACTAGGTGTAAAACCTAACTCCGCAAGCTTTACCAACAGGATATCGTTATCAACGGTATCGAAGGCTTTACGAAAATCGAAATATGCAGTGTCCACCTGGCTCCCAGCATCCACTACTGGCACCACATAATTTATAAAACAATAAATTACTCCCAGTACTTCGACCTGGCCGAAAACCATGCTTAGCTTCAGTAAGCTGCGAGTTCACTTGATTATAAACATATTTATAAATAATCGACTCACATACCTTAGCGATTGCACACAATACGGCTACTGGTCTATATTCATCCACCTTTGAACCCGATCCTCCTCTCAACACAGGAATCACTCGGGACACTTTCCATTCGTCCGGGTAGTAACCTTCTTTTAGAAACAAGTTAAAAATATGTAAGAGAGGTAATTCAAACACCATACGATAGTCTTTTAAAATGAACAATAACTTAAAATGAAAAATTAAATTTTATCGCAATTACCACGGAGAGTGCTCTGAGGAATTGTTCGGACTAATTCCAGCCGCACAATTTCACCACCGCACAACGCGAAAAAACTCGCGATACCATCCATACCATCTGAATGACTGGCGGTCACCACTGAAAGAGGTTTTCTTCCTCGCGCAACTTTCTTATGGAATCGAATACCACCAGAGTTTTTTCCGGACCGATACAACTTAGAGACCTTCAAGAAAAGAGCATACTCCTTTTTAAAAGGCCGGCAATGCATCTGCATTTTTCCTGGTGTTGCAGCTGTTCACGGGCGGCGGTAATCACTTACCATCAGGTGAGCCGCACGCTCGTTTGCACCCTCTCCTACAAAAGAAGATCTCGTTAAGTTTCGTGGTATTTCAACTTTGATTTAAAACAATAGATGCAGCATGAGACTTAAGAGTACGTTAAAATTCAGCAATCTTACAGTATTTGGGCATCAAGGTGACAAACGAACACACAGTCTACATGATGATAAATAAATAATGAAGTCATAAAAAGTATTTTACAAATGACTGACGTAAAAGAAGTACTTCATGTTTATCAATGTTGGTACGCAAAATTTAAGTACTGAATGGGTCTATCCCTTTTTAGAAAAGATTTGCCATAGATATTACGCTTGGCAGGCGAAAAGATAATCTCAGTTCAAGAAGTCTCACATTTTGACCCTCTGGTCTCTAAGATCATCGCCGGTCTGAGTACTTGACGCTTGGCGCGAACGGGACGGTCACGAGTACCGCCATCCACGAAGCGATGAGATCTTTCTCGCATTTCCCAAAGTCGCTTTCTACGAGTACGACGTCCAACCGAACGAAATAAAGTGGAGGATTATCTTACACCGCCACACCCGGACACAACCTCCTGTCATTTCTCCTTCAATTTTTTTTAATTGAAACCATTAAAATAAAGACGTATTTACTACCAGACGGGCCCTGCGACTTTAATTCATTGCGCACTAAATTACGGTAAATTTTGCGTAACTTTTTTAATCAACACCGAGTGGGCGTTAACACTTAGTTTTCTGTTTTGTCAACCGCGAACGTTATTTTCGCCAATCTAACTTGATCGATATATAGTAATAAATAGTTATTAAATAATGCTTTTGTTTAATGTGACTACAAAAAAATAATGTCATTATTTACGAGCACATTATGTCAACGTGATTTGAAGTTAAATTTCAGATGAGTGTGTAATTTTATTTAGTATTTACCTAAAAACAGTAACTAGCCCTTTTTATCTTTTTTACCAGAGAAGAAATAAGAGGTTTTCATCTTAGTCCTTAGGGCGACAACGCCTTTGCATTTTGATTCTTAATTGGGATAAATGCAATGTCTATGTGCAACAGTGTGCAAGTGCGTGGCATGTTGATGCGATCCACAGCTGTGACACAGTTTTGTGCCGGTCCAGTAGCTAGTAGCGTACGCAGGAGTGACTGTATTGGATCAGGAGGCGGCGACGTACTTGTTCTTGTGGTCCTTGTGCCGCTGCGTGGCGGCGCGCGCCAGCTTGTCGAGCGCGCGCGAGTAGTCGTGCTCGAGGTCGGCGCGGCGCCGGCAGTAGTCGCTGAGCTCGCCCGCCACACCCGCCGCCGCCTCCGCGCGGGCCTCCAGCACGCGCGTCTGCTCCGCCAGCTGCACGCGAATGTCTGCAAACAAACACCACACATCTTACCCCTCTGTTCCACAAACAACCTAACACATTATACGTTGCAGCTATATTATGCTTGTAGCACGAATGGATCGGCTCGACCGGGGAAGGACCACGCTATCACCATGCACCATACCAGCATGAAATGGCAGCTTAATGCTGCTGTGTTTCGTACGGTTAGTACAGAGAACCAGAAACCCTTTTTAATGAAAACGAGGCATTCCATCTTAGTCCTCGGGGGTGTCAAACGATCTGTATTTTAGTTCTTAATTAAGTATAGATATAGATGACTGTTGGTCACAGCACCCACTTACCATCAGGCGGACTGTGTGTCTGTCACCCTTATTTTATATAAAATACACACATCAAACTATCTCAACGCGACTGAGTATGGAACACTCATCCAAATGTCTGTATATAATAAAGCCATACATAGACATCAAGGAAATGTAGGAAACGCACCGTCCCTTTCTCCGCAAGTCCGCCCCTTAACTTCAAAATTTATAATTATATCGACGACATCAGTTAGCATCCGTAAGCTGATACACACGATGAGACTTTTGAGAGATTCTACTGATGGAAGCATTTTAAAGTCAGTCCATTCTTAGCTATTGCATGGTAGATATGTTCTACTAGCGCCAAAAAATCAAGAATCCAACGTTTCGTCGCGTGAAATCGTATCTAACAATGATATTGAACATATAAATTATATTAAAAGCACATTATCAGAAAGATTATTAAACTTATTTTTTTAATCGATTAATATTCTTCCATTTAAAAAAGGTTTGAGCAGCTTATGGTTGAGATTTATCAAGTCCGCATGTAGAGGTAAACACGATAACTTTTGAAAATATCAATCGTTCAACTCAATTTTTTTTAATCTCATCATCTATCATATGGGAAATCATGGAATGTGAATGGCTGTTTAATTTTGTTTTGTTTAGTTATAATTAATTTTTTTCGGCTGAGAAATTCCGTGTAGTGGCGGTGTACGAATATCCACTACCCCATATCTTCCCGTGGGTGTCGTAAGAGGCGACAGAGAGAGGCAGGCAGGAGATGGGCAGCAGCATCTTCCTGATAGCAGCAACTGTACAACAAAAAAAACTGCGGTTGCCAACCCGCTCGCCAAGCGTGGCAACTATGGCAATATACCCCCCATGAAGAATTACATGCATAGACGGCCCCAGTCCCCGGCGGCCCCGCTATTCCTGGCTACGGTGGCGACCATGGTAACGGCGGGGCAGGGGATGCTAAGAATCTCCGGTGGAGGTTCGGTTGCCACCTACGATGACTCGACCTGGCAACATTTAACGCACGCACCCTGAGGACTGACGAGAAGATCCTGGAGCTGGAAGAAGAGATAGACAAGTTGCGCTGGAATATTATAGGTCCGAAGAGAGAGGGAGGACACGGTGATTTTCGAATCCGGCAACTTGTTCTATCACCGGGAGGGCGACCATCTGTCCCAAGGAGGTGTTGGATTTATCGTCCACAAGTCTCTCGTTAACAACGTTTTAAAGATTGGGAGTGTATCGACAAGGGTTGCGTACCTTATACTCAGAATCACCAAACGGTATTCGCTGAAGGTCATACAGGTTTACGCGCCAACGTCGAAACATCCCGATGAGGAGATGGAGGAAATGTATGAAAATATTTCCAGAGCCATGCATTCCTCCAAAACCCACTACACGGTGTTCATGGGAGACTTCAACGCAAAACTAGGCACAAGAGAAAGCGGTGAGCTGAAGGTAGGGAAATTTGGGATAGGGCAACGGAACCCAAGGGGCCAGCAGCTGGCCGACTTCATGGAGAAAGAGGGACTTTTTATGATGAACTCTTTCTTCCAGAAGCGGCCCCACAGAAAGTGGACCTGGTCGAGCCCCGACGGTTCGACAAAAAACGAGATTGACTTCATTATGACGACCAGACGCCAACTGTTCAGTGATGTCTCAGTGATCGCAAGGGCGAAAACTGGCAGCGATCACCGAATGGTTAGAGGCACACTGAACCTAAACGTTAAGTTGGAGAGGTCTCGTCTAAAGAAGTCAACGCTCCGTCCCCCTCGTGCTCTAATCCAAAATCCCGAAACCTTTCAGCTCGAGTTACGTAACCGCTTTCAGTGCCTAGAAGATTGCAATGCAGTGGACGATATGAGTGACAAGCTCGTGAAAACTGTCCATGCGGTCGGAGCTAAGTTCTGCAAGACCCGCCTCAGAAGAACACAAAAACTCTCCAATAACACTCTTAATCTCATGGCTGTTAGACAGGATATGAGGCTGCAATCGTCAACAGATTTGACAGCATACAGGCAACTGAACAGACAGATCTCCAAATGTACGCGGCGAGACTTACGCAACTTTAATACTGCTCGTATTAAAGAAGCGATCGAGCGGAACCAGAGCTCCAAAGTCTTTGCCAGAGATCTGTCTAGTAGTTTAGAGATCTGTCTGCCAGAAAGAGCCAACTGTCAAAGCTGAAGACTGAGTGTGGCAGCATCGTTTCCGGGACACCTGAGATTTTGAGTGAGATTAAGAGGTTATATCGACTTCGACTTCCGATTCTGGAAGTCGATGGATGCAGGTGGCTCAGGACCGTGCTTTGAGGCATTACTTGGGGGAGGCCTATGTTCAGCAGTGGACTTGTGAAGGGCTGTAATGATGATGATGATGAGAGGTTCTATGGGCAGCTGTACACATCATCGTTGGAGCCACACGCAAGTGTGAGTTACGATCCAAGAGCAAGTCTTATCCGACACTATTCCGATGATATCCCGGACGTCAGTCTGAGCGAGATTAGAATGGCTCTCAAGCACCTTAAAAATGGCAGGGCCCCAGGCGAGGATGGAATTACAGCGGAGCTTCTGAAAGCGGGTGGAACACCGGTACTTGAAGTCCTTCAGAAGCTTTTCAATTCCTTCCTCCATGGTAGCACTACTCCGGAGGCGTGGAGCAGAAGTGCGGTGGTCTTGTTCTTCAAGAAAGGTGACAATGCCCTCTTGAAGAACTACAGACCGATATCCCTTCTGAGCCGCGTCTACGTGCTGTTTTCGAGAGTCATTACGAATCGTCTCGCACGCAGACTCGACGACTTCCAGCCTTCCGAACAAGCCGGTTTCCGAAAAGGCTTCAGTACCATAGACCACATACATACCCTGCAGCAGATTGTACAGAAGTCCGAAGAGTACAACCTACCACTTTGCCTGGCGTATGTGGACTATGAGAAAGCCTTTGATTCCGTCGAAATTTGGGCGGTGCTACAGTCCCTTCAGCGGTCGTCTATCGGTATATCGAAGTACTGAAGTGTTTGTACAGTAGGGCTACGATGGCTATCCGAGTACAGAACCAGAGTTCGAAACCTATCCAACTGCAGAGAGGTGTAAGACAGGGTGACGTTATATCCCCGAAACTCTTCACCGCTGCATTGGAAGACGTTTTCAACGTACTGGAAAGGATACGGTATTAAAATCAATTGCGAGTACATCACTCACCTTCGATTTGCCGACGATATAGTCCTTATGGCAGAATCGCTGGAGGACCTAAGCACTATGCTCAATGACCGATGGGCTCACCTGTATCTCCAATAGTCGCCGACATATTCATGGAGGACTTCGAGGAGAAAGCCCTTCTTACTGCTCCTGTAAATCCAAGATTCTACAAGCGGTACGTAGACGACACTTTCACAATTTTACCATCTGACAAAGTAACTGCATTTTTAAACCACCTTAACTCTATAAACTCTAAAATACAATTCACAATGTAGTTAGAGGCAAATAATTCTTTAGCTTTCTTAGATGTTTTAGTCATTCGAAATCCTAATAACACAATTGGTCACACTGTGTATAGGAAAAAGACCCATACCAATCGATATTTAAATGGTGAATCTCACCTTCATCCTTCACAGTTAGCTACCGTGGGTAAACCTTTGTTTCAGAGAGCACGAGGGATCTGTGACAGAAAACATCTGGCCGCCGAACTTCAGCATGTCAAGCAAGTATTGCAAGACAACAAGCTTCGGGTCCCGCGCCTACGTCACAGTGACCGAGTGAAGCCGGCCACAGTCGAGCGTGTACCTGCTGTACTACCATATGTCAGAGGAATCACAGACAAGGTTGGCTACATCTTGAAGCGAGCTTCCATTAAAACATACTACAAGCCGCCGAAGACGATTAGTCAATTTTTACCATCCGTCATGTGTAATATCCCTCTACAAGATGCAGGAGTGTACAAGTTAGATTGTGAATGTGGTCTCTCTTACATAGGTCAAACAAAAAGATCCATTAAAACTCGCGTGAAAGAACATATAGCTGACGTGAAGCACCGACGCTCCGGTAAGTCTGCAGTCTGTGAACATGTTCAAGAGCGTCCCCACCATTACATCAGATTTGATAAACCACAAGTCCTCGCAAAAGAACACCGATTCCTACCAAGGATAATACGCGAGGCTATTGAAATTAAAAAACATCCTAATTTCAATAGAGAAGATGGTTGGGTGCTGCCATCTGCTTGGGATCCTATAATTAACAAAATTAAATCCAAACCCAAGCATACCACTGCAAGACTTCAAGATACTGTAAGTTCGTTTTGCGTAAATCGGACCAATAATTAATATTCAAAAACTGAAGGTAGCCGGGCTAACAATGACATTGGGACGTCAAACATCTCAGTCCCCCCCGTGACCATGGTTGCTGTAAAGCACCCGAAACGTCGGGAATTAAAAATAAGTAAAAGTAGTGAAATAAACGCGATAAAATCGCGTAAATTTAAGAAATCATTAGTAACGATAAGTTTTTTTTATATTAATTATCGTAAACTTGTAAGTGATAGTTTGGTTAGAAGTAAACCACACACTTTAAAACCATCATTAGAAAACCTACCTAAAAACCTGAATAAAGGTCATGAAATAATTAGGTTTTGTTCACTTCAGCATTATTCTAACTTCCTATTTAAAATCGAGTATGACGTCATTCATTAGGTTTTTTAAATTACATTTTTAGGGAATAATAAAAATAAATAGTGATTGACATTTTTACTCTAGTTTCTATTTCCATTCTAATCAAAATAAATTCAAAATGTGATTCAGATGTAAAAATATGCCAACAGATGAACTGATGAAAAATTCAAAAGATCAATTACAATCGATTGGGCATACCTAGTCATTTTTTACCACCCGACGTTTGGCGATAAATGTTATTAGTGGAATAGAATACTTTTTAATGTTCATTTCGGCATGCAGCTAGTCCGTGTCAGTGAAGTGTTTGCAACAAATACAACAATCGTGTGTACGTCCGGTGCTTGTAGTCCACAGGCTGGTTTAGGTCATCACCCTTCGGTACTTGACCAAGTTAAGAAATTATTATTATTTTTATAATCACAGATTTTCATTACAATATATTGTTTCGCTGAAAGTACGTAGGATCAATAAATGTATAAATATACTTATACGTCTTGGACTTTATGGAGTGACAGGAGAGTCTACTTTAGTATCTGCTACTGGAACTGCACGAAGAGTAGAACTAGGTGTGCCGAGTTTTGGCTTTGTTAGTTATGACGAGTTCTTACCATCGGACTTGATAAACCGACCTGA